CCAAAAACAATGGAAGAGAATATTTCAGAATAATTCAGAAAGGAACGAGGCAGTAATATCACATGCCACAGAGAAGTCAAGTAAGATCAGGACAGAGAAGGTCCACTGGATTTGACAAGTAGGGGGACTCTCTTTTTGGGATACTTCTGGATCTTCATTGTATATATAAAGCTGGGTCAATGTTACCTTTCTTGAAGAGAGAAAAGGATAAAGTGAGGAACAAATGAAGGAAAGGATCTCTACTCAGGAAACGCGGATGCACCTCTATTACAGCACAGCCCAGTCTATTAGGATTGCTTCCATGTTGAGCCACCTCACGAGACTGTGAGCTGAGCTGTGTAGATACGCACACACAGTCCCACTACTCAGAGACCCCTGTTAATAATGTGATTGAAAATTCTTTTAGGCTTTTTTTCTCTGCTTATAAATGTGTACGTGTATGTGTGCCTGTACTTTTAAAAATAAATACAGATTCATACTGTGCATGTTCTTCTAAGAACCTGCTTTTTTCACTTAACTGAATAAGTGATCGTCTTTCCATGTTACTACATGTAGAGTTATTCCAGTCTTCAGTGACTGCAGAGTATTAATGGTTTGAATGGACTATAATTTCTTTAACCAAATGGACTCTTACTGGTGAGCACATAGGTTCTTTTTAGCTTTACCCTATCATAAACAGTACTGGAATGAGCATCTTTGTACATATATTTTCTTTGCACATTTTGGCAGGTTAGATTTGGTAGTTAAATTCCGAGGACTGTGTCTTACTCACCTCTGTACCCTCAGCACCAGGCATAAAGTAGGTGCTCAGTAAACGTGTTAAAATGACCTGAGTTGATGTCTCTGAGGTCCTACAGCATCTTGTTTATCTTTGTAATTTTAGTTATTTACGACAGTGACCAACAGGACCAAAAAAATGTTTCCTGAATGAATAATCTCAAGGATATAGAGAACTCTACCCAGAAAAAGAAGACATCCAATAGTGATTTCAGCTTTTAAGTGATGTGTGTTTCAAAAGCATTTCACTAAGCGTTGCTGGCTAGGAAGCACCTTGAGACATTTCTAATGAGCACTCTGCATTCTGCCTCCTCCCCTTGTGATGAGTATTTGTATACTTCTTTCCCTGGTCAGGAGAAAGGGTGGGTAAAAATTCTTGTTAAATAATGGTTAGAGTGAGAAGTTAAAGACGTGTAATATTACGTTGTCTTTTGCCTTCTCTTCAAAGTTATGTTTCTTTTTCACCTCCAGGGCCCTCTTCATAGAACCTTTAAAGCAAGGACAGTATCTTGTTCAGTACTGCATGATTATTGCCTAGCGTAGTACCTAGCACAAATAGTAGGCCTTTGGTAAATGTGTGTAGAATAAATGAATCAAGCAAGTGCTGAGCTATGCAAAAACCTGTTGTCATCGAATTGATTTCGACTCGTAGCGACCCATAGGACAGAGTAGAACCGCCTCATAGGTTTCCAGGGAGCGGCTGGTGGATTCCAACTGCTGACTTTTTGGTTAGCAGCCAAGCTCTTAACCGGTGAGCCACCAGGGCTCCCATGTTTTGACCATTTTCCCAAATTTTAATCCTTTCCCTTCCCTTTAGGAGGCCTGGTGGTGCAGTGGTTAAGAGCTTAGCTGCTAACCGAAAGGTGTGCAGTTTGAACCCACCAGCCACCCTATGGGACAGTTCTACTCTGTCCTACAGGGTCACTACAAGTCAGAATCGATTCAGCAGCAGTGGGTTTGGTGCCTTCTCTTTGTATAATGATAACTCTTTTATTATATATTAAATTCTTATATGTAATAGAGTCTGTTTCTGAGTTTCATTTCTTATACTATAGATTTGTCCATCTGTTTGTTTTTGGTGCCGAACCATCTACTTTTAATTATTGTTGCTTTATGATATGTTCTAGTATTTTATAAGATGAGTTGCACCTCATAACTCCTCTTTTTCAAAATAGTATTATATACTCTTGACCATTTATATTGCTAAAATAAGTCTAGAAATATTTGGTTATATTCTAATAAAAAAATCCTTTTGTGGCTTTTTCTTGAGATTACGTTAAATCTACACATAAATTTCTATGAGTATTGACATCTTTGTGCTAATCTTTCCATCATATAATATGGTATATTTTCCCCTTTTATTCAAATCTTCTGTTATATATTTGGTAAATATATATATTATTCTTCCTATAGGTCTTTCATTTAACCAACATTTATTGAACACTCCCCCTCACTCCTACCTCTTGCCACGGTGCTCACTGCTAGAGACACAAAGATAAACATGTCACAGCTCTTGCCCTCAACGAGCTCACTTTGGTCACAAGAGAGATAACTGATTAGACAGTTACAACTGTGTATAATTATTATTGTGATAAATAGAAGCACAAGGTGCTAAGGAAGCACAGGAGGGGCACCCAACCGAGACAGGGGTATCAAGGAAAACTTCCTGCAGGAGAGGACTCCTGAACTGAGTCTTAAAGGCTGAACGAAGTTAACCAGGTGAAGAAGAAAGAAAGAATATTCCAAGTAAACAGAATTCATTGAGATATGTGTTCAAAAGTAAAGAGATAAGAAAAAATGTTAAACTATCTTAGGAGCTGCAATTAGCTAGAGTATAGTAACTACAAGTAGCTGGATTATAGAATGAGGATGGTATAGTAGTCAGCAATGAAGCCAGGAAGTATGTGGGAGTGAGGCAGTTTGTGAAGGAACTTGTGTGACAAGGTAAGAGTTTAGATATCGGATTGAAGGATTTAAGTGGAGGAAAGAAATGGTCAGATTCATGTTTTAGAAAAAATCTCCCTCAATGAAAAAATAATAAAACTAGATAAAGGAAGCCTACTCTAGCTGTAGTCTGGAAGATGGCATATAGAGGTACCAAACTTAGGCAGTGAGGCCATTGAAGTCATCTAGAGGAGATATAATGTCTTAGTTATCTAGTGCTGCTATAACAAATACCACAAGTGGATGGCTTTAACAAACAAATTTATTCTCTCACAGTCTAGAAGGCTAGAAGTCTGAATTCAGGGCCCCAGCTCCAGGGGAAGGCTTTCTCTGTCTGTCGGCTCTGGGCCAAGGTCGTTGTCATAGATCTTACCCTGGTCTAGCAGCTTCTCAGCACAGGGATCCCAGGTCCAAAGGACATGCTCCACTCCTGGCTCTTCTTGCTTTGTGGTAATGAGGTCCTCCTCCACTCTGCGCAATTCTCCCTTTTATATCTCAAAAGAGATTGACTCAAGATACAACCTAATCCTGTAGATTGAGTCCTGCTTCATTAACATAACTGTCTCTAATCCTGCCTCATTAACATTGTGGAGGTTAGGATCTACAACACATAGGATAATTACAGCCACACAATACTAAGAATCATGGCCTAGCCAAGTTAACACACGTTTTTGGGGGACACAGTTCAATCCATAATGGACACCCAAAGGCAAGGGTAGTGATAGATAATAGGGATAGAGAAAAGAGAGTGATTCCAGAGCTATTAAGGAGGTAGTCACATACACACAAACAGCACACATTTGTACTCACACATCCCGGTCTTGTTAATACACTAATTGGTTTATGTTTTATTACTATCTTAAGCAGGACAGTATTCTAAATGGTTATTTTCTGATATAAGCAAGCTGTTGATTTTTTTTTTTTTTTAATCGAGGATTCTCCCATCTTCTGAACTTTTAATTCTAGTGTTTAGTTGATTTCTTTAGCTTTTCTAGGTGTTTCTTTTTATCAAGGTACTTTTACGTATTGATATTTTCGATTCTTCCCCTTAAAATTTTTTTATTATGAAAATGTCGAACATAAAAATAAAGAGAATAATATAGCAAACCTCCATATGACCTCCATATGCCCTTCACCCAGATTCAATAACTATTAAGATTTTACCACATTTTCTTAATCTTACCCCCCCTTTTTTTGTGTTGTTGAAGTATTTTAAAGCAGAATCTCAGACCTCATGTCTTCTCAGCTCTACATACTTTAATGTGCATCTCTAAACAATATGGATATTTTCTTACATAACCACAATTCAATTATCATACTTAAACTAAATTAACAATAATTCCTTGGTATAATTTAATATCTAGTGCATATTCATATTTCTTAGTTATCTCAAAATATCTTCTAACTGTTCAAATCAGGATTGAATTTACACATTGCATTTGATTGTTTAGACTTCTAAGACTTTTTTTTTTGTAGCAGTCCCTAACCCTAACCCTCGTTTTCAGTAATGCTGTTGACTGTTGAAGAAACCATGTCCATTGTCCTGTAGAATGTCCCACATTCTGGATTTGTCTGTTTCCTCATACTCTGCTTTATTCCTCTTGTCTTTTATCTTTCCTGGAAACTGGAGGTTGGCTTTGAATGACTAATTGGATTCTGGTTCATCTTTTCTTTTGGGTGAGGGTGTAAGACTGTGAAGTACTACCTATATCTTATATTTTCACTCTTAGGGATGCTAAGATTCATCAGTGGGTTCAGGCGATGACAGTTCATCCCTCCATATAAATTTCCCCATCAAATAAGATCATCCACTGATGATTATTGCCTGAATGAATGATTTCATCAGGGGCTACTAAATGGTGATTTTCTAATTCTGTCATTCTTTTCACATTTATTAGCTAAATAAAGAACATTCTCTCAATAACTAGGGCTGTTTGGTTATCCAGAAATATATATAGTATTTGCCAAAAAAGCAAGATAAATGTTTTTTGTTTTTTTTCCTACAATTTTTGTATTAAAGAGTTAATGCCGTAGTGATTGTTCCTTTTAACTGTCATTGATCATGCTTCTATTTTATGATTTATTGCATTGGCTAGTCCAGTGACTCTCCTCCAGTGATTATTTTGTTATCTCAGCCTTCTGAAATGGGTCTTCGTTTGCGCAAGAGCCTTTACATCCTTAGGTTTGTGAATGACTTTCTCATTGCCACGCTTCAGTCCATCTAGTCCTGTGCTTCTCAGAAGACAACCTTTCCTTTGATTTCTCTTCTCTTGCTCCAGGTCACACTGTGAACAAGATGCGGAAACACTCAGATTCAGAAGTGGCTTGTCTTGCCAGAGAAGTTTACACTGAGTGGAGAACTTTCATGGAAAAACACTCAGATAGACCTTCTATTGAAGTCCGGAGTGATCCCAAAACCGAGATGTTTAGAAAAAATGCCCAGAAATTACTCTCAGAAGCTTTGGAATTAAAGGTAAAGTGTTTAACTAGCCTCTCTTGGTTAAAAGAGCCTCACCTTTTCATAATGAGCTTCCACAGTCTTGGTGCTTATGGCTTTATTCTAACTGGTTATTCTTTAAGGATTTTGGATTTATAAGCATTGTTCTAGAAGGCAGTGTTGTAGAAAGAGAGCAGGTTTTGGAAGCAACAAGACATGGGTTTCAAGCATGGCTCTAGTATCACTGCCTGTGACACTTAAGGCAAATTTGTTAACATTTCTGAGACTTGGAGCGTAATTCCTACCTATAAAGGTCATTGTAAAGGTTAAATGCGCCATTTATGTGGAGGAATAGTATAGTGCCTGGTAATAGAAGTCACTTAATCGATGTCGGTTCCCTCCCACTTAAAATTTTTTCTCTTCCCACTGATGCCAAAATTCTGGGATAGACTCTGTTATGGTTTATCAACGGCAAAATCAATAGCTGTTAATCGGAAAGACTCCATTCTTCCAATTTTTGTCAGCACCCATACCTTTTTTATCTTATTTTATTGTTGTACTTTAAGTGAAAGTTTACGATTCAAGTTAGTCTCTTGTATAAAAATTTATACATACATTGTTATAAGACCTTAATTGCTCTCCCTGTACTGTGTAAGCACATTCCTCCTTTCCACCCCTGTTTTCCCGTGTCCATTCAACCAGCTCCTGACTGTTTCTGCCTTCTCATCTCACCTCGGGACAGGAGCTGCCCGTTTAGTCTCATGTATCTACTTGAGCTAAGAAGCACACTCCTCACAAATATGATTTTATGTCCCATAATCCAGTCTAATCTTTGTCTGAAGAGTTGGCCTCAGGAATGGTTTTAGTGCTGGGTTGATAGAGAGTCCGGGGGCCATGCTTTCTGAGGTTCCTCCAGTCTCAGTCAGACCATTAAGTCTGATCTTTTTCCTAGAATTTGAGTTCTGCACCCCACTTTTCTCCTGCTCCAACAGGGACTCTCTGTTGTATTCCCTGTCAGGGTGGTCATTGGTGGTAGCTGGGCACCATCTAGTTCTTCTGGTCTCAGGCTAATGCAGTCTCCGGTTTATGTGGCCCTTTCTGTCTCTTGGGCTAATGCTTTCCTTGTAACTTTGGTGTTCTTCATTCTTCTTTACTCCAGGTGAGTTGGGACCAATTGATGCATCTTAGATAGCCACTCGCTAGCTTTTAAGACCCCAGATGCCACTCACCACAGTAGGATGCAGAACATTTTGTTAATAAACTTTGTTATGCCAGTTGACCTAGATGTCCCCTGAAAGCATGGTCCCCAGACCCCCGCCCCTGCTATTCTGTCACTCGAAGTATTTGGTTGTATTTAGGAAACTTCTTAGCTTTTGGGTTAGTCCAGTTGTGCTGACTTCCCCTGTAGTGTGTGCTGTCCTTCCCTTCACCTAAGTTAATTCTTGTCTACTATCTAGTTAGTGAATAACCCTCTCCCTCCCTCCTCACCCTCGTAACCATCAAAGAATGTTTTCTTTTGTGTTTAAACCTTTTCTTGAGTTCTTATAATAGTGGTCTTGTATAATGTTTGTCTTTTTGTGACTGACTGAATTCACTCAGCATAATGCCTTCCAGATTCCTCCATGTTATGTTTCATGGCTTCATCGTTGTTCTTTCTTGTTGTGTAGTATTCCATTGTGTGACTATACCGTAATTTGTTTATCCATTTGTCGGTTGATGGGCACCTAGGTTGTTTCCATCTTTTTGCTATCATGAACAGTGCTGCAGTGAACACAAGTGTGCATGTATCTATTCGTGTGACGGCTCTTATACCTTTAGTTTTAAGGCATAAAATCAATTGAGTAGACATTCCCTGTCATTGTCTTAGCCAGTAGTTCAGGTGATGCTAATCAGTTAGAGGTACACATGCTGGAAGGACTTCTGCTTATTAATAATAATATTAATCATCATCATCGTCGAGCAGCAAGTCTTACAGGCTAATTAATACTCTGAAAATCACATACATAGCATCTGTATTTTTTCCTATTTCAGGGTATCCCTATTAAGCTATCCTTAAAGAATAATTTAATATTATTAATAAAAGAAGCAATTCAGAATTTTATTTATTTTTATTGTGCTTTAAGTGAAAGTTTGCAGTTCAGGTTAGTTTCTCATACAAAAATTTATGCACACGTTGTTATGCGACCCTTGTTGCTCTCCCTGTAATGTGACAGCACACTCCTCCTTTCCACTCGATTTCTTGTGTCCATTCAGCCAGCTCCTGACCCTCTCTGCCTTCTCATCTCGCCTCTGGACAGAAGCTGCCTGTTTAGTCTCATGTATCTACTTGAGCTAAGAAGCACTGTCTTCACGAGTATCATTTTATGTCCCATAGTCCAGTCTAATCTTTGACTGAAGAGTTGGTTTTGAGAATGGTTTCAGTCCTGGGCTAACAGTCTGGGGACCATGTCTTACAGGGTCCCTCCAATCTCAGTCAGACCATTAAGTCTGGTCTTTTTACTAGAATTTGAGTTCTGCACCCTACTTTTCTCCTGCTCCGTCAGGGACTCTCTGTTGTGCTCCCTGTCAGGGCAGTCATTGGTGGTAGCCGGGTACCATCTAGTTCTTCTGGTCTCAGGCTGATGCAGTCTCCAGTTTATGTGGCCCTTTCTGTCTCTTGGGCTAATACTTTCCTTGTGCCTTTGGTGTTCTTCATTTTCCTTTGCTCCAGGTGTAATTCAAAATTTTAATGCAGGTTTAAATGCTAAATCAGTTACTTCATTCTCTGGAAAAAACATTTTAACCTTCCCATCTCAATTATTCACCCACAACTGAGAGTGGTGTATTACTGACTTTTTTCAAATAAAGTTTTGGGTGTTTTAAATATAAACTTATGATAGAAAATCTTTAAAATTCTGGAAAGAGCAAAGAAAAAAAATCATCATTGAACCTACCACCCAGAAATAATCTTGTTAACGTTTTGGTGTATTTCCTTTATGGAAAATTATTATAGCCCTTTAAATGAATGCTGGGCAAATTCTGATTATCCTAGGTTCATTAAGGACCAACTACTATATATGCCAAATGTTCTGTAAGAGATTTTTATTGATTATTTAAATAACATAGCAGAAAATTCACATAATTATGTACATTTGTGTTGTCTCTTTAATCTTGATCAATATCAGTTAGTGTCATTTTGTATATATTTTTCTATATATGTTTATAATTTTTAATGTCTATTTGATAGTCCAGTGAATTGATATGCTGTAAGTTTGCTTAACTTTTCTGAAAGGAGCTTTAACAGAAATATTATTAAAGCCTAGGAAGAGAGAAAAAATATGAAGGTTGTAAGTCTAATTTTCCAGAGTATAGATTAGCCAACAAAACTTGCTATTTGATTTTTTAAGTAAAGTTTATTTTTGAAATAAACCAAAATTATTACAGAAACATACAGTGTATGTATATATAATTTATAGTTAATGTAGTGGTAAATACCCGTTCCCTGTGGTATCTTTTTAAGTAAATGATAATAACGAAGCTATGCTTGTAAGGATTAATGAGCAGTTTGCCTGCTATATTAAACTCCATAATAATTATCCTTTTAGTTTATCCATTAATTATCCTTTAAATGGCACATCAAGTGGTAAGCACTCAAGTGTTACAAAGCAAAGTTAAAAAACTGATAACATTCGTTAATGCTTTCCAATGTAATTGGGGAAAAAAATCAGATTAAGCATAGCTGAATGGTTTTGTTCCCAAAGAGTAAATTTAAAAAACTAAAAATATGCATCTTACTGTCTTCCTTGGCCAAAAAAATCAATCTGTTTTCTTGTATAAATAGCATTTGATAGTATTTTTTATAAGTTTGGTATGTCAGAAAATATGAACAGAAACACTTTTTCATAAGGTTAACTCTTAGCACCTATCACTGTTGGAGACATTTCCATATTAGGGTAATTCAGTGAACCATCTAATCCAGTATCTGATCTTTGACAGTTACCAATGTTGAGTGGATTTGAATCAGCCATCAAATCTCCATAAATGTACTTTATCAGTCAGTAGTACATTGTTGGATAAATTATTGGCCCAATGACTAAAAATCCTTTACAGTTTGAACCTAGTATGTGTTTTTGCAAATATCACATCTTCTCATTACATTTTTGTAGAAAAATACTATTAGTTTCAGTCATATCTTTTTGTAGTGAAAGCCACACATGAAGGATATACACACAGCCAAAAGATGCATCTCTTCATTACCCTACAGATCTTGCTTTCCAGATTCATGGATTGTTTCCTTGTTCTTGGAATAATGGAATAGATGAATAAAAACTCCATCATTGAGACCCAGGCTCCATTCCCCTTTACTTTCTCCCTTCCAGATCTTCTTTGTTCTTCCCCGTCTTTTAGATCTTTCCTCATATGAACGTCCCCTGTGGTGTCATTCTCTTACTTCCCCTTCCTCATTATCCACTCTCCTTCCTCCCTCACGGCCTGTGATCATTTTCCTATTATGTCATTAAAAAAAATGGACCTGATTCTCAAAGTGAGCCTGTATCATTAAGAGTTACAAAACACTGACTGGTTGGCTCAGTTGGTTGTCAGATGGTGCTAATGAGATCCAGGTCAGGGGTACATCCCCATATGGGACTGTTAGTTTTTGCTTTGTTTAATGGCCTCAGACTGCACCCCTGGCTTTGACCAGCTCTCTCATAAATGTTTTCAAGTGGTCAAAAAAAGAGTGTGGGTAGATACGTACAAATCCAATCATACTGTTGGAAAATGCACACAAAGTTTGCTTCCAGTGGATATTCAGTTCAGCAGTGGTTAGCAAGGATCTACTAAGTGCCAGGTACTATCCTGTGTGCCAGGGGAGAATACAAACACAAACAAGTTGCATTTCCTACCTAAGAAAGCTTACTGTCTCCTGGCTGAGAAGCATGTAAATGACTAACTAAAATATGAGGCCAAATGAAATATGTTCTGAAATAATAGTCCCAACAAGTATTGTGAACACACAAAGAAAAGGAGCAGTTAAATCTGATAGGAGAGTCTGGGAAGAGATGGCAGTTGGATTGACCTTTTTAGCAGGAGTAAGATTTTGCTAATTAGAAAATACACATAAAATAGAAACATATTTCTTATTTTATCTGCTGTGTATATGGTGTTTTCGAAAGAGTAGGAAAGGAGTGGGGTTATAAAGGGAAGAAAGGACATTCACTTAACGAATATTATTGAGCACTTACTATGTACCAGTTTCTTTGCTTGGTGTGGAGAATTTAGAAATGCATACAACATGGTACCAGCCCTAGAAGTACTCATAGTCTTCTGAGGGAGATAGACAAATAAATAATTATAGTATAATGTGAGAAGTTCTTGCACTTAAGGTAAACAGTGAAGAAGACCTTTCTGTACTTTTAAATTGCTTATAGATGTGGCAGACATCATTAATTGATTATGACACCATTTCCCAGTGAGTCCAGAGTCCTTGATGAAAGACAGCTCTAGGTGGTCATGTTTTATATCTTCCCCCACCTATAACCAGTTGGTCCAGGATTGGACAACTGAATAATACACACTCACAGGCCCAAGTCGATAAGGAAGGCAAATCCGATTCTCTGTCTCTGAAAAATGTGAACTAGGAAATACCAAGAAAACAGCAGTTAGTGGGAATGTTGAAACAGAAGGGTTGTTGGAGGAGTTAGGAAGCAGAAGGTGTGAGTAGAAAGGAGATATTTAGAATAGGGGGAGAGAATAAGGCAGTTGCAATTGGTCGTAAATAAGTCCATGGAGAGAAGCAAACACATGTGAGAAAGAGTCCAGGCAGATCACGAGAGACACAGAGAAAGGAACTAACCCCGAAATACATCTCTAGGTTTCTTACAGCTTTCCTGGTCCCATTCCTGTTCATACACATGTATCTCATAGCAAAACCCTGTTTTTCAAGGTCTCATTTAAACTCTGGTCCTTTCACCCAAAACTGCCAGGTTAGGACCCATTGGAAAAGACTCATCAACTTGGACAGGTTTGGTTTGCCCAAAGGCAGTTACAAGATAGGCATGCTTCACTTTGTGCAGTAACTTCTTACACACAGTGGTGCATGGTGAATCATCTTCCCTTAGGATTTACATTTTAATGTCACAAGTTTTTTTTCTTCATTTCTTCATTCTGATTGGCTTTCTCTTTCATTTAAGAAGATGCATGCATGAGAAATATTAGATGCTTTCTTCGTATTCACATCACACCTCTGTCATAGCACCTGTCATGCTGCCCAAGATTCTCTCTGTACATGCTATCACCTTTCTGGGCTGTGAATTCCTGGAGGGTAGGGGTCAGGTCTTTTCTGTCCTGTGTCTTCAATACCCAGATCAGGCCAGACTCAGAGTACAGACTCTGTAACTATTTGCTGAATGAATGAAGTATGTATGTATAAGTATCCAGTTACGGTGAACTCCAAGGAACTCTCAGAGTTTTTTGGTTTTTTTGGTACTACATCTTGATGGAGTGGCCTCAGTCTGTTTTACAAACACACACATACCCTTCCTCTCTTGACATCTACCTTCCCAGCCTTTTAAAATGGACTGGTACCAGGGCTGCCTCAAGCTGGGAGCTAGACCACTGCCCACCCAGAAAGCTTTGAAAATCTTGAGGAGTCTGGGTCCTGAGAGCCATGGTGTCAAGTCTCCTCACTCACTAGCACAAGCCTAGGAGATTATCAGTCAGTCATTAGGACCACAGAGTTTCTGATCATCTTTGTCTGCTGGACCTAGGCAGATGTCTGGGCCTGGGCCTGGGCCTTTGCATATCTTCTACTAGAATATTCTCATATTCATTCATATTCTCTCTCTCACCTATCTTAGTCTACTCCCTGCTTGGTCCTTATTTCTTCCAAGCTTCTTTTTTCTGTTTGTTTTGGTCTATCTGTCTCTTAGGTTAGGATATTTTATCATATGTCTGGTGATCCTCTTTGATTTTGGTGAGTTGTTTTTTTTTTTTCCCCCTCTCTTTTTTTTTAAACTTTTTAAATTGAAGTATAGCACATATACAGAAAAGTGCATAAAACATATATGTACAACTCAATGAATTTATCACAGAGCAAACACGCTCTTCACGTGGTCAAATCCTGCTTGTTCCCTAGGACTCAGGTTAGACACATTTCCTCCGGAAGCCAGGCCCTGCCTTCCTCGGTCGAGTCCCTTTGCAGTAGCTGTGCTCCCAGCACTTGTTCCTTTCCCCTTTCCTAGCACTCAGGACACTTACAACCCCTGTTGACTGCCTGTGTCTCCTGCTAGACTGTGCTCTCCAGGAAGTCAAGGCCTGTGTCCATCTTGTTCACTGCTTTTTCCCCAGCCGCAAACACAAAGCTGGCACATAGTTAATGCTGAATAAATATTTGAATGAGTGGCTGGGCTAGGGAGGAAAGAAATGAAGGGAAAAAAGGAAGTGAGAAAGAGAAAGAGAAACTTGTTTCTGGTTTTCAAGGAAATCACTATCAGGAGAACAAACTCAAAAAAATAGATTATAGCATGTTATGATAATGACTAAGGGGAGCTCAGGACTTTTATGGCAGACTCAAAGAAGAACCTTCAGTCCTTTGAGCTAGGCTTTGATATACAAATATAAGTGTGTTTCCTGGAGGCAGGTATCCTCTGGTAAGGGAACATGTGCCTGGGCAGAAGCCTAGAGGAATGGAAGCAACTTAGAGTGCTCAGGCTGGGCCATGGTCGGGGTGTTGTTGTTGTTAGGTACTGTTGAGTTGGTTCTGACTCATAGTGACCCTACGTACAGCAGAATGAAACACTGCTCAGTCCTGTGCCATCCTCACAGTCATTGCTATGCTTGAGCCTGTCGTTGCAGCCACTGTGTTAGTCCATCTCATTGAGGGTCTTCCTTATTTTCACTGACCCTCTACTTTATCAAGCATGATGTCTTTCTCCAGGAGCTGGTTCCTCCTGATAGCGTGTCTGAAGTATGTGAGAAGAAGTCTCACCATCCTTGCTTCTAAAGAGCATTCTGGCTGTACTTCTTCCAAGACAGATTTGTTTGTTCTTCTGGCAGTCCATGGTATATTCAATATTCTTCACCAACACCGTAATTCAAAGACATCAATTCTTCTTTGGTCTTCCTTATTCATTGTCCAGCTTTCCCATGCATATGAGGCAATTGAAAATACCATACCTTGGTTCAGTTGCACCTTAGCCCTCAAAGTGACATCTTTGCTTTTTAAAGATCTTTAGTCAGGATGGGGAGGGGAATAGTGGGCAATGGGCCTGGAAAGGGAGGGAGATAGGGCTGAGGAGATCCCTGTCCAGCAGCCCTGCCTGGCCTGGATCCTAACCATGTGACAAAGCCCTAGACCCATTCTGCTGTGATTATGTCTGTGACCTCAGGATGACTTGGACCTGAGTTAGGCCACCCCAGAATTGGTACATGTCCCCTCCCTAGGCCTGGTCTGCGTAGCTGAACCTGCAGAAGACCCTCCAAGCTCAGCTAGTCTCCAGGAATGTTGAGGGGACAGTTAGTGTGATGAGGCGGAAGAAACACAAACTTTGGAGTCAGGGGTCCGGATTAGAGTCCCTCCCAACTCTGCCTCTTAGTAGCTGTAAGACCTTGAACCTTTACTTCTTTGAACCTGTTTCTTCATCTGTAAAATGAGATAATAGGCATTATGAGCATTAAATGTGAACAGTGATTTATAAACTGCTCTACACACATATTAGGATCCAGAGCCAGTGTTTCTAAAATGTTGTAAGGGGTTAAAAGGCGCTTAAAAAAAGAAAGCATAAACTGTTATACTGATTTATTATCCTTCGTCTTCGTTTCCTGGTTGCTAAAGTACAGGGTCCAGTACCCGTTGCTTAGTTCAGGCTGGTTTCCTGTTATAATGGCAAATATTACCACCCGGCAGGGGTTGTGAATGAGATCCCTGTCACAAAGCACATGGCCTTGTTCCTTAATTGCCAGGGTGGAATTAATTTGCTCTTCCTGTTTCTCTTGCGACAGGAAGTAGATGTCCTTGAATTTCAGTTGATTAATGGAGGCCTCTGAGCAGAGTGCTCCAGCCTCTCTTGCTTTTAATCCTTATGCAATGCAAGCCCCTAATTTGATAATTTTACTGTTTTTTAGATGGATCACCTACTGGTTGAAAATATTGAGCGGGAAACGTTTCATCTCTGTTCCCGCCTCATTAATGGGCCATACCGGCGGACGGTAAGAGCCCTGGTCTTCACATTAAAGCACCAAGCTGAAATTCGGGCCCAGGTGAAGAATGGCTTGCTGCCAGTCAGCACATTTGTAAAGAACCACAAAAAGTGACCTGAGGATGTTCCAACCCTGAGCTGGGCAGAGAGGAAAGCAGGCCTCTCTCTGCCATTCAAAGACTCTTTTGAGTTTGAGTGATGGCTGAAGCTGGCTGTGCTAAATTTTCCCATGGTGCATTCCTTCAGACGGAGGGTGCTGAGAGCCCTGGCACACACAGGCCTGCAGGAACCTGCTTCATTATCTGTAGCATGCTGGTGCTGCCTAACAGGATGCGCACTGGCTGTCACTGGGAAGCGCTGCACGATTGCCATCACCCAACACAGTGAAAGGCGATGGATTTCACTGTGAGTATGCCAGAGACACCTCTAAACATCCCCCATATCAGGCAGAGGAAGTTACTACTTTATTTCGCCACCCTGCAGGTAACTGAAACTCAATTACTGCTGCCGCTCACTCGGTTCCATCCCCCTGAGTTTAGATAGCTCTGGTGCCTCTCAGAACTCCTGTCTGTTCTCTTTGCTCTACCCCAGGGGTGAGCCTGCCAGAGCCAGCCGACTACCCCTTCTTGCCAGAGCTCACTTATCTGAACGTTTCAGCTCTCCCTGGAAGACCTTCTGTGTTGGTCTCCGGAGCCCCCATGCTGAGGCTTCTAATGAGGAATCGGCCTGAAGTGTCCCCCCACCTCGGGGGTTTATTTGAATATGTTGGCTCTTTCAGTTTAGGGCCATGTAGAAGAGACATAGTGAAATTTCTCTTGAAATGAATTACTATAGTAGGAAAAAAATACATATACATTTTAAAATGAAATACCTCTGTACAGGCCTGCTTGAACAATTATGTAAATGATACTTGCTTTTTAAAGTAACAATAAACTGGGATTTTTTTCTAAAACAAAAGATATGGCTTGTTTATTGAAAAATGTTTTGAGTTGAGAAAGGGTACAGTTGGCAAAATTAAAGGATGATGGGACATGAATTCAAGGGAATTAGCAAGACCCAAGGGAGTGTTTTAGATTAGGGGAGACTGGAGCATGTTTGTGACACAAAGCATTAAGTAATGGGCTACTAACTGAAGGGTTGGTGGTTTGTATCTCAAAAAAAAAAAAAAAAAGGCCTGGCGATCTCCTTCCAAAGGGCACAAGCCTGAAAACCCTATGGAGTGCAGTTCTGCTCTGACACTCATGGGGTCTCCATGGGTCGGAATCAACTTGATGGCAGCTGGTTTAGTTTTTTGGTTTTGGAGTATGTTTGTAATACAAGAAAGGAGCCAATAGAAAGAGGGACATTTACGATCCAAAAAAAGAGGAGATGGCTGGTAGAGTAAAAAGATAGAAGGGAAGGGACTAACATTGTTGTCCATCTAAGTGCTAGGTGCTTTTCCTAAGACAATTTATTAACATTTGTATGGATCTTTATATAGGTTTAAAAAAAAAAATCCTTTTTAATCCTCTCACCTGTTGTATGAGGTTGGTATTGTTACTTCAGTTTTTTAGATCTGTTCAGCAACCATTTACTGAGCACCTATTGCATGGGGCACTGTAGAAACTGGAAAGTAGCCAGATGAAACCAGAGTGGCTCACAAAAAAGTGTCTTTTTGAATTTCTCACTGCAGGTAACTATTGGAGCCAGAATAATAATAACTGCCACCAATTATTGAGCACTTACTAGGTGCCCAGCAACATGGTAAATATTTTTCAAAAAATAAAACAAAGATGAGAGAAGTGAGGCTCAGAAAGTTGTGGTAACTTACTCAAGGTCCCACAGCTAGTGAATGGCAGATTTAAGGTTCAAAACCCAGCTCAGTCTTCTTGGTTGATTTCATCCACTCTCATAGTTTCAAGCATTATTTTCATGCCGATGAGGCTCCAATTTGTATCTTCAGCCCAGACCTGTCCCCTGAGTTTCTGATATCTCCTGAATGTCACATAGGCATGATGTAATATGTCCTCTTTCTCTCAATTGGCAATACTAGCAACCCAGGCATTCCAGCTAGGAACCTAAGAGTCAGCCTAGATCCCTCTATTCCTCACCCTCATCCAACCAAATCCTGATGATTTTACTTCCTAAATATATTTAGAGTCTCTTGCCTCTTCTCCATCTCTGCTATCACTTCAGGACTTTATCCTTTCCTGCCCAGATGACTACATAGGCCTCTTAAGGGGTCTTTCTGCCTCTAGTGTTAACCTCTTCAGATCCACGCCTCTACTCTATAACCAAAGTAACCACAACTAGAAATCTCCCATTGAAAAACCCATCAGTAGGTCCTTATCACTAGGGTAAAATACAAGCACCTTAACATGGTTTTCATGTTGGCTATGATCCAGCCCCTGCCTTCCTTTCCATTCTCACCTCTCTCCCCTCCCTGACCCAAACTTGACTCCCCGTCTTCACCAGACTTCTTGGAGTTCTTCACTGCATCAGGTTGCATGAAACCTATGAGCTTTTCCCTCTCTGGAATACTACTCTACCTAATTCCCTCCCCTGCCCCTGCCTTAATACCCTGTGTGCTATTATTCTGTATGTATCCATGGGTTCTGTGGGTATGTTTATCTTTCTGTCTCTCTACTTGATTGTAACATCCTTGAAGTCAGAGATCCTGCCTTACTCATCCAGACATCTCCAATGTCTAGAACAGTGCTTGTCCCAATAAAGATTTGTAAAATTAATGGGAATCCAAGTATCTCTAGTCTCCCTGTTTCCACCCTTGTTCCCCCGGTAGTCTGTTTTCCACAGAGTAGCAGAATGAACCCTTTAAAATATAAGACAAATCATATCACTTCTGTGCTCAGAATCTTCCAGTGGGCTTCCAGTCTCACACAGAGCAAAATCCCAAGCCCTTACTATGTCTTACAAGACCCAACATGCTGTGGTCCCAGGCTGCCTTTTTTACCTCATTTCCTAACATTCTATCCATTTCTCACTCCTCTGAGGTCCCACTAGCTCACTTGTTTGAATACACATACCAGACATGCTCTTGCCTCAGGGCCTTTGCACTTACTCTTCCCCTGACAATGCTTTTTCCCCAGATATCTGCATGTTCCTGCCCTCTCTTGATTCAGGCCTCTGTTTTCCCTATCAGAAAGACCTTCACTGACTACCCTAAATAAAATAGCACCCCTTCCCAACCATTTTCTAATACTCTACCCTGCTTTATTTTTCTTCAGCCCATTTATCACTCCTTGATGCAGTTATTTGCTTGTTTCTTTACTGTCTATCTCCCCTCTTCAAGAATTTAAGCTTCATGAAAGCAAATTCTTTGTTTCATTCCCTGTTGTATCTCCAGCACCTAGAACAGAGCCTGGTACAAGGGAAGCCTCTGTAACTATTTATCGAATAGTTGAACTATTGGTTGTGGGTGCACAGGAAAGGCATCTATCTAATCCAATCAAAGAAAGTTTCCTAGAGGAGGTGATACCTGAGTTTAGTCTTAAATGGCAGAAGTGGCTAATTGGGTGGTTGAGGTACATGCCTGGCAGGTGAAGCAGAGAATGGAAAGGCCCAGAAGTGTGAGATATCTGTAAGGCGATTAGTGTGACTGGAGTGGAGGACACAGGCAGGAAGAGTAGATGGAGATGAGGCAGGAGAGGTAGGCAAGGACTGGATTTGAAGGGTCTTGAGCGCTGGGTGGAAGGTGTATGGACTGATTTCATGCAGGAAATGGTCAGCTTTGTGTTAACAGGCTATGTGGAGGAGAAGCTGGTGCCAGGGAGAGAGACAAAAGTTAGGAAACCTCATTTATAAACAACCAAAGAGTTCTGCGAACTGGGTATGCAGAGTAAGTTGACAGCAAACTTCTCTCTGGCTGAAAGGCTTCTGTGGCGATAGTTGGAAGGTACAATGATTGCAGAGATGTCCTTTGGAGATTTGGAAAGCAGACTATGTTGTTTGTGGCTGTTTTCTCCTTGATGTGTGTGCAGAATTTCCATGAACGCTAATGGAGCTATTCTGGGTACTTGTCAAAGGGAAGGAGGCTTGCAGACACGCATCCAAGCCTTTCACCCACCAAGAAGCATCTCTGAATTCTAGCCTGTTACAAATGAAAGGGTCAGCTCCTGAAATGGGGTGACAGAAGTTCCTGGACGTCTGTAAGTCTAGGTGTGGATGTATCTTCTAAGTGTGTTCAAGTTGCTAGAGGAAATTTGGGAATGTAAATACCATAGAGTCTTCTCAAGCAGCTTATTGATCCTTTTCTTGTGATTAGATTGGAAGTTCTGGCCCTTTGGGTAGGGACTGAGTCTCTTTATTTCCATTCATTCACTCAACAAGTGCAGCCCATCTGCTGTGCCAAGGACTAGACTGGTGCTGGGGAAACAGCAGGAAATAAGATATAATTCCCACCTTTGAAGGAGCTCTTAGTCTGGTGGGGAGACAGACATGTAAATAAATATAGTATGGAATATTGAGTATTTACTATAGATATTTACTTAAAATGTTGAGAAAGTGGAGAAAAGAATGATTAACACTGCTCTGAGGTGAAGAAAGTCTTGACAGAGGAGTGAACATCTGAACCAAGTCTTGAAGGATAAGGTAGGAGATCTTAGCAGGGGGACCAGTATATGTGCAAAGGCACAGAGGTGTAAAGTACATGACTTGTTTCAGTAAAGGCAGATAATACCATGTGGTTGAAGCATAAGGTTCTTAGGAATAATGGAGAGAAATGGGGCAAAAAAGTAGCCAAGGGCCTTGGAGGCCTTGTCAAGGAGTTTGGACTAAAGATAATAGTAGTAGGTCATTAGAAGTTTTTGAAGAGGAGAATGCCTTAATCAGATGTGTGTTTTAAAAAGACAAAAATGTTCTTATATAAACAGGTATTTAAGCAAATTTTTAAATTAAAGAACCCCAGCAGTTTAAGGCAAAGGAAAGAAAGACTTTTGAGATTCAGTAAGTTAGAGTTGGTTTTTTGTTTTGTTTTGTTTTGTTTTTTGACAAATGAAGTTTGGAGTTGACCAAGAAAATACCATTAGCGAGTCCCAGGTTTGAAAAATGGCAGGAGGCCCAGATAATCCATTTATTGTGTTCAGTGGTGAAGGAACAGGCAGCTGGACTTTTTTCATTTATAGAATATCAGGTTCTTAAACTTGTGCCTGTCAACTTTGGTTTTCTTTTGCTGCAGCCTCAGGCTTCAGAGCCTTAACTCTGAGATTTGTAATGTGCTTTGGATGCGTTTATCACAGCCAGATGGGGTGAAGGCTCAGTTTGTTACTGCCCATTACTGCTATCGAAGGGAGTTCATCCAGAAAACAAGGCTTTGGGAACTTTGATTAGTTCAGTGACACTGCCTTGGTTTCAAAGGAAAGGTTTGGTTGGATAAAATTGTGTTTCATTTAAATCAACCAAAATGATACAATTGCTGTCCGGGATGGATTTACCCATAAACTGAGGAGATCGATTTCAAGAACCAGAAAGACCAAGATGTTCAGACAAATGCTGTTATTTCATCTTGTTAAAGTCATTTATTCAGTATGTATTTACTGAGTCCTTATGTGCCAGGTGTAAGGGTCACAAGGTTAAATAAAACAGTCTCTGACCTCAAGAAGCTTACAGTCTAGTGGAGACAGACAATAAATAGACCATTAAAAATAAAAGCAAATGATACAATTAGAAAAACGAGCAAAGATCATGCATTATGGGAATTCAAAGAAAGGACATGAAAGCCAATGAACATCTTAAAAGGTGCTCAACCTCACTGGTAATCAAGGAATGGCAGAGATTAGTGCCATCCTTAAAGACCTATAAGATGCAAGGATGGTGATTCCCATTATATCTCTATTTAAATTTACCAATCTGACCCTTTCAAAAACCAGATGGATTCTGGAAGATGACACTGGACTGCAGCAGAATCAACCAAGTGGTAGTTCTGATTGTA